GGAACTTTCGAGACAAGAACCATGAATTTTCGCTTCACAGGATTACAGGGATCTCTTCGCCCGCTAATTCATGTAGGCCTGCCAGTGAATGCATTTGTGTATTTGTGTGTGTGTGTGTGCATTTGTGTACGTTTGCAGCTGTTCGGAAGGCAAGGTGCGACCAGGTCGGCCTGCGATTAGGGTAGAGCCTCCACCATCGGGCCAAGGCTACTTTGTTTTAAAAGCAAAGTAACGATGGCGCATGAATCAAGCCTCGGCAACAGGAGTCACCATGACCCTCGAAAAAGACAACCTGTATTGGTGGGGCTTCTTTGAGACACGAATCTAAAGGAGTGCCAAAGGAATCAAACTCCTATCTCACACCACATGCTACTCCCCTCAGAGTGGACCTCAATGCTTGCTGCATTGTTGTAGTCTGGGAACGACCCGTCCTGTTCGAATTCACGTTGGTATGCTGTCCAAGATCGGGAGAAACAGATCCATGACATGATTGGGAGTTGAATATTCAACTATACAGCTGGAACCCTGTTGTGCAGATGCTGACTCGAAGCAACAAGCGCTAAAATGCATCTGACCTAAAACCATGTAAATAAATGTCTGAACTGTCATGTTAAGCTTTCGTGATCGGTCTTACCAGATGAGAAGTTCCCGGATCAAACTGCAGTTGCCATGCCAAAAGAGAGAGGTAAAATAAAGCCGCCTTTAGAGGAAAAATGAATATTCGATAACAGTTATCGAGAAACTTAAACTGCTATGCGCCACTTTCGTGTTGTGATGGGATTTTTAAAAAGCGTTTAACATGTGCTCTTCGCATGTCTATAAAAGTAATAATAATGTGAATACATGTACAATAACTGCCTACTTTCGTAATGGGTGTATGCGTGTTTGTGCACTGACCAGGCAAAAGCGAGTAGTTCCGGCTCTCATTTGCGCGTCAGAAGAACACCAAATTAATAGCTTCCAGGACATGCAATACCTGCTCTGTGTGAATGGGTCGTCCACTAATAAGCTCGAATCCTGCCCGAGTTTCTAAAGACAGACCTAGAAAGGGTCAATCCTGCAGATAAGTCTACCTGAGGACGACTCATTTTCAAAATCGTCTCTTTATTCGGTAGCTATGACAGCTCATTAAAGATTTACATATGGCTACGACACCTACTTACTATTAATATAAGTAGTGTAGTCGGTTGTAATGGCGAAATACAAATTGCCACATCTTTGAAATTGCTATTCATATAGCTGCGACAAAACTCATCTCTCAATCCGTAATCAGTTTGTGCGAAATAGAGTGACTAAAAATCTTATTAAGGATTGAAGGAGAGTTTCGAACTATACTTTATATGAATATAAATTACTCTTAAATTCATTTTCGGCAAAATCAATTTTATATTCCGTTTCTAAGTCGGTTTCGAGACTATCAGTAAGATCTGATACACCCTATTTAGTTTAAGGTTTAGTTTTGCATAGCCTTGCTTCCAAAAGGGCATTCTCATTCATGGTGGACTTCAGTTCATACCTTGTATAGGTCTCATTAACACCCCATGCAGGAAACGAAAACCTACTGTCAAAACGGGAGATTGCTGTACTAAATGCAACCTTACTTCGTCGACGTCCCACTTGTGATCTAGGCTTGTTGAAGTTCGCTTCTGCCCTGTGACCCACGTACACTTGTGGTGGTCAATGTTTAAAAACTCTACAATGAAATAGCCAGGTTCGAGTCCTGTTGCCACTGCTAATGAGACTCCCAATCGAGGTCGAAACTGTAGTCCACTCCTGCATGAAGGAGAATACATTTCGGTAAGCAGGGCTATATGAAATTCAATTGAAACGTGGGGCCTATTCATATCATTTAAAGTCAATGAATACAGCTCATAAAGACGAAACCACCACCAGGCGAATCCACTTCCAATGTACAACCAGTCAACTTTTGTCGAGTCTAAATAAATCTACTCATCTTAGAGATTGTAAATCTTTTTAGAGATAGGCTCGTCTTTCTTTCTCGTCTTTTCCCGTTAACTTGGTCTTCCATCTGTACCATTAGGGGAATGGACCTACACTTCACAACGTCCTCATATATTTTGATTAGAGCTTTCAGGCCAAGGCAGAAGCGCAGGGCTACTTTCTGCTGGTGTCCGGACTAGCAACAAGTTTGTCCCACGACGTCTCGCGGAGGCAGCGAATTTCAGACTGTGACGAAATGACTTATTATGGCTTAATTTTAAACTGGCTAAGTGCACTCACGTCTACCGGCTTCCAAGGCAGGAAGAAGAGTTTCCATGGCGTACGATGATCCTCGGGTCTGCGTTGTCATGCCCTTTATGCATGGGCGTGGCATGAGCTCGCAATGTATGCTTGTGTCAACGTGAGCATTTAGTATCCAGGCCGTCAGCCTTTAGCATGCTTAACTGTTTACCTCACAGCATATTCATATTTGTATGGGGCTATGAGTGTATGCATAGCATGTACATCAAATGACTGTTTCGGCTCGAAGAGCTGCAAACCCATTCACAAAGTCACCAGCCGCCCCCTTCGTGGACTCGAATGCATGCCTTTATCGAAGGAAGGCGTCCACCAAGCGTACCTGTACCATGTATCCATAGTTGGGTATGTGTACGTGTGTGTGTGTGCATATGTGCGTGCTTGCCTGTATGTTCATAAGAGGGAGTGAGAATGTAGGTTTGTGCCTTGGCTCCTTCCGAGTTGGGTCGAGTTAGCCTTGCTTGACCAGCATAGGTCGCGTCCAACTTTGCACACATTGGTACCCTCAAGAGAATATTTTGCCCAGCACCCAATCTCCACAACTGCCTCCTCCCTTGCACTATTGTTATTCAGTCTATTTTGGCACGCTTACAGGCATCTTGCGAGATATTTTTTGTGCAGAAAAATGCTTCTCCGGTAAAAGCCTTCGAAGCGAACGTGACCCCCGAGAGGGAGCTGAAAGGAGAAGATGCTCTGGAGAATGGGATTCGGCATGGGCTTTCTTCTCGAAGAGGGTGGGAGTGAAAGAGAGAGAGGAAGGGAGAGAGGGTGGAGGGAGGGGGAGTGGTAGAAAGGGAGGAAATGGGAAAAGGGGGCCAAGGGGGTTGGCATGTGAACGGGCTCTGCCAAAATGGTGCAAAGTGGATCGATGCCATTGCAGAATACGGGTGGTTGGGAGAATTAGCTGTCCTGCCCGGTGGCTGATTGGCTGGGCAGTGGATTGGGCGCATAGGATTGGTTGCGGCAGAGGCGACGGTCTCGTGAAGGCCTGTCCGGTCTTCACGATTGCCGACTGGACGAAGAGGGGGAAGATGAGCTGTCGGAAAAGCCGGGCATAAAAGTATCCACCTTTGCAGAGTGCCCATTGCCGTCTAATTGCCCGAAACAGCATTAGCTCGGGCCACCCAAATACCAAAGAATCGGCCGGCACACAACAGCCTCGTACCTATTCATGGCTTTTAGGCATACCAGGTTTGAGGCGCATTTTAAAAACGATATAACTACAATATTATGTACAAAGTAGAGGCTTAAAGAGAGTCCTGTAATCCTCGAATTATTCAATGCAAAATAAACGGAAATATCGCATTTCCAAGCGGCATTGTGGGCGTTGATTGTTTTTTTGTTCAATCAGTTTGCTGCGGATGTTTTAGCGTCAACGCTGCTCGCGAAAAGCGTATGTACAAGTGAGCATTGACACCCATTTTTGTGCGGATGTATTTGTTTGTAATTGAAATTAAAAGTGAAGGAAGCGAAACTTGTCGTCAAATGCACATATCAGCTTAGTGTCATTCACGGGACAAAATACATGCCATATTGCAACTTTAAAAAAGAGCTCACTGAAGGCAGAAAGGCAAAAGATGTGTCATGAAGAGTAGTTGGATTTTTTGGTGATTGTTCAGGCTCTGACGATGTCCGTCACATGACGGACGAAAGCTCAGCACGGAGTCATCGGTATCGTAGGCCGATGAGCCGAGGTCTTCTTCGCATAATTCAACAGATAAAAGTCCTTCGGTATCCGATAAGGCCAATCTACGAATCCCTTCCACACGCCTTCTCAAACCAAATGCAAGGTATGACATTATGAAAAAATGCGTCATTTTTTATGCTGACCGAAAGATGATAAATATTTTGCATGTTCCATACTCGGATAAATTATGCATATTCTGCATTCTTGTCTATTTCAAAATGAGTAGTATATTATAGTAGTATATTATAATTGGACAAAAGTTATGGTTATACTGCCAGTGTTTCAGAGAGACGTCAGATGAATTGATGAAAGTTGTTCTCGTTTAGCCTCATAATCTTTGATATTTCGTGACAATATCCAGCGGTCTACACGCCCCAAGCTTAAATCAGAAGCTGATGCTTTCACAACAAAACATCAATTTGCTAGTCTCGGAATTATCTCATGCGGATAAAGGCGACACTGCGGTCCCCAAGGGACACTCCCAGTTCTTTGAGGTCATTGCTTCTTTCAGAAAAGTCAAGAAATGAAGTCTTAGAAGGCCAAACATGAAGTTCACTCAGTGACCATTGGGTCGTCCTACAGGTTATGCAAATTGAGAACTGGCGTACTCATTGGGAAGAGTTCTAACCAATCTTTTGGGCTGTATTCGTGAGATATTACGTTGCAATGCCACTCGTCCAGTATCGATAAGCTCTGGTACTGATTTGCACGTCTGAGGAAGGTCAAATTGACACGCATTCTTGGCTTTGTGTGAATAGATCGCCCATTATTAAGTTCAAATCCAGCCTGGGCTTCTGAGGACAGACGTAGAAAGGGTCAATCTCGTAGATAAGGCTACCTGAAGACGATCCCATTTCAAAATAAAGTCTTCTCTTCATCGATGTTGAGCTCACTAAGCGTCTAA